CAGGGAGCCCCTGAGAGCACCGGGAGCTCTTGCACAGATCCCAGTTCCCAGAACAGCTCCCCTGGCTCTCCCAGCCCCACGTGTGTTTGTGGCTCATCCTCCCTGCCAGGCCATGGAAACCTTTATGGATGAACAAGTGAGGGTCAGTGAAGGGGCTCCTGGTGTGTGAGAGCCTCTCCTTGGGCAGCCAGACATTGGGAATAGGTTGGAATTTGCTTCTCCTGGTTGCATGGAGAAAGGGAAAGTGAATCTCAAAAAGTCACAGAATCCTGGGATGGTTTGGGAGAGAAGGGACCTTAAATCCCATCTCATTCCAGGGACACTTCCCACTGTCCCAGTGTCCATCCTGGCCTTGGGCACTGCCAGGGATCCAGAGGCTGCCCCAGCTGCTCTGGGCACCCATGCCAGGGCTTCTGCTTCCATTGGAGCTGCTGCTCCTTCCCCACAAGGCCCTGGAATTCCAAGGGAACACTTGGAGCTGTGCCAGTGCACACACCAAGTGTGTGCTGAGCTTTCTCTGCCCTCCTGTTTATTTTAAATCCTAAATGAAAAAGTGCTTTACTTATTTGTGTGGATTAATTTGGAGAGCTGGAGATAATAATTTATAAATTTCCCCTCTATTTCCTGAGGGGTTTGTGGTGATTCAGATTCAACTAATTCAGCTCAGGCTGGTGCCCAGCTCGGAACCAACACAGGCAGGATTTTTTTTCCTTCCAAGGTTTTTTTCCTCACCCAGGCAGAAAGCTGTGGAAATAATGGATGGAGTGAAGGGTGGTGGAATCCTGGGAGAGGGAGGATGGAGTTGGCCAGACCCAGAGACTGGAGTGGGGTCCTGCTCCCTGGCAGGGTGGGAATGGGAGTGGAAATGGGAATAACTGCTGTAATTACCATATTCATGTTACTGTTCTCCATCACTAACAGTCAGTGCATTACAGTTTCAGCTAGAAGTTGTTTTTCAGTTTTCTTGCAGTGGGAAATTCTGAGACCTTTTTCTACTTGCCACATTGGCTGCCTTGTTTGCCTGTGCTGTCTTTGTGCTTGGTAAAAACATCTTCTTGTTTGGGGTGGGTTTATCCTTTGCTCTAAGCCATAAAAACCCCCTCTAACTAACACAACCTTTGCCTCCTTGGTTATCCAGTGGGACTGGCTCAGCAATTCCTTTCTTCTGTATCAAAACTTGCTTCCATCTCTATTCCTTCATCAGACTCTACATTCAAAACTCTTTCTGCCAAGCACACACAACTGGGAGACTTTGTTTTCAAACTTCCATCCTTCCTAACACACACACATATACATAGAGAATGCATTGGAATATTTGCAAAAAGCCAGTATTTTAATATGTATCTATAACACTTCCCAGGGATATCACATTTTATCTGCATTCCCCTTTGCTGCAGATAAACCCAGCCTGGCTGCTTTAATTCAAAGTGACAGAGCTTATCGCCCCGTGTCATCCCGAATTTCCAGCAGCAGGAAGAGAAGGAGAGGGAGAAAATGGGGGGAAGAAAAGCATTTTAATAGTGCCTGGAGATGCTGGAGACAAGCAGTGACACCAGGGGAATTTGGGACACGTGGAGCCAGCACTGGGCCTGGTCTGTGCCCGCTTCACTGTGCCAGCCTGGGAGGCTCTGGGGTGCCCCAGGTTGGAAATGGGGGTGTGAATTCTGTCACCACCTGTCAGAGCTGGGCAGTTATCTCTTGGGGAAGATGAAACAGGAAAGCNCGCTTTTTCCTTGGAATTGCCGGAGCGGAAGCGGCGGCGGGGCTGCAGCGGGGCTGGGCGGGCGCTGGATGTCACTGTGGGACCGCGCTGGATGCCACTGATGGGTGTCACTGCTGGGTGTCACTGTGGGATCAGGCTGGATGCCACTGATGGGTGTCACTGTGGGATCAGGCTGGATGTCACTGCTGGGTGTCACTGTGGGACCGCGCTGGATGTCACTGCTGGGTGTCACTGTGGGATCAGGCTGGATGTCACTGGTGAATCCTGCTGGATGTTGCTGCTGGATGTCACTGCTACATCCCGCTGGGTGTCACTGCTGGGTGGCACAGGGACAGGCTATGGATGTCACCATCTGGTGGCACAGGGACAGTCTCTGGATGTCACTGTGGGACCGCACAGGGACAGGCACAGGCTGCTCTAGCCCTCCTGAGCCCCCAAACCCCTGCCCGAGGGTCACTCACAGAACCCCAGGGTGCCTGAGGCTGAGAAAGCCCTCCCAGCCCAGGGAGCCCAACCTGTGAGTGATCCCCACCCTGTGCCCAGCCCAGAGCTCTCAGTGCCACCTGCAGGGGACACCTGCAGGGATGGGCACTGCAACCCTCCCTGGGCAGTGCCGGTCCCTTTCCTTGGGGAAATTCCTGCTGTGGGTTCAATGAATCCAAGCCATGCTGTGCTAGGGCATTTCTCCCATGGATCCATGGGCACGGCTGGCAGGTACCCCACCATGGAATCACGGAATCCTTTAGGCTGGAGAAGCCCTCTGAGATCGAGTCCCACCATCCCCAGCACTGCCAAGGCCGCGCTGACCATGTCCCCAAGTGCCACATCCACGGGGCTTTAAATCCCTGCAGGGATGGGCACTCCAAACCTCCCTGGGCAGCTGTGCCAGGGCTGGACAGCCTTTCCAGGAAGGAATTTTCCCAGTGTCCAATCTAAACTCCCCTGGTGCAGCCTGATGCTGTTTTCTCCTGTCCTGCCCCATCCCTCAGCTCCCTGCAGATCACAGTTTGGGAACTGGGGCTCCCCCAGCTGGAATGGGGCTCCTGCCCTCGGCACAGCCCCAGGGAGCCCCTGAGAGCACCGGGAGCTCTTGCACAGATCCCAGTTCCCAGAACAGCTCCCCTGGCTCTCCCAGCCCCACGTGTGTTTGTGGCTCATCCTCCCTGCCAGGCCATGGAAACCTTTATGGATGAACAAGTGAGNACCCAGTTGGGAATGCGCCCATCCAGTTGGGAATGCGCCCACCCAGTTGGGAATGCGCCCATCCAGTTGGGAATGCGCCCACCCAGTTGGGAATGTGTCCATCCGACCCTTTCGAGAGTTGTGTCTGTTCCTCCTGTGGAATGCGGAGCTCCCGAGCCGGGGGAGGCTGGCTGAGCGTGGGGGTGAGCGCAGGGGGGCTGAGCCCTGCCTGGCTGCACACCGGGAAAGCTCCAGGGGCTTTTCGTGACCGGTAACTCAAGGGCTGCCTTGTTTCTGTATCTCAAGGTTTGTACATAATAAATGCCATAGGATGTTGCCTGTACTCTCCTTTGTCACCTGCTTCCTGCTAGGAGGGCTGGGATGATCCTTGGAGATGTTTACAAGGCAAATTTCTTGCCTCCTCGCGACGTTTTTGGATCTGACGGAGAGAATTTGCATTTTTAACTTTTCTGTTTTCTGCTCATGGAGAAACAAGTGCTAGATGAACTGACTTCATCCTGCTGTGTGCTTTCAGTTGGAATGCGAGGAGAAACACAGCAGCAGCATTCCTAGCATGAGACCCAATAAATAAAACCTCCATCCCAGCCCATCCCACCCTCGCTCATGTCCGTGTTCCCCTTTTTCCAAGGACTGTGTGGTTGCTTCCTCTGAGTGTTCCCATCTCACAATGGTGCTAAATGTAGGGGTACCCCCCAGGCTGTTCCTGATTTCAGTGCATAAAGCATGTTTGGATTGTTCCACTGGTTTGGTTTCTTCTTTGCTCCACCCCCCCGTGCCCCTGCAGCTCTGCAGTCTCACCCCTGTGGAATCCATGGGGGATTTCACATTCATTGCTCCCATTCTCACAAACAGGGACGCCCCAGCTGGGGTTCTTCAGGCAGCTCTGCCTTCACAGCAGTGCAGGGAGGTCAGAAGGGCTCATCCCAAACGTGTGTCCTGCTGAGGGGCAGCTCCTGGGGTTCACCCCAGTCCCACTGGGTTAAGCACAGCCCTGAGCTCACTGAAAACTGGGCCAGAGAGAGAGAAAGTGATGCTGTGGGTTATAACCATCATTTGAAATGGAATTTGAATTTAACTGATTTAGCACATTTTGGGTTGTCCTCTGATCTCAATTACATTTCTGTGATGGCTGGCCATTGCCAGGCCTGGTGCTAAAGATTTTTCTTTACCTCCAGAATTTCCTTTCCCTTTATCTTAACATGTTTGGTGATTGTTTTCTAAGGCCACACAGTGTTATTTTGAAAGGTGCAATAATATTTGAAATAGCTGCTTTAAAAGCCATTTCTTTATGATTTTGCTAAATGGGGAGGGTTGAGTGCTCTGGATTTATCCTGAATTCCTGCAGAGTTGGTTGCTGCCAGGCTCCTCCAGTTCCTCCATTCCAATCACTGGGATTTCACCAGTCCAGGAGGGTGTTGTCACCATGAAATATCATTTCCATATCCCAAATGATTGCACAGACCATAAAGTCCTGGAGGTCTCCTTCAGATTTGGTGGAACTGAGCAGGATTTCAAATGTAAATAAGAGAAACTGCATTGGAACTGCTGGAATTGTTAATTTGGCCCACAGGGGTTCATTCCAGTAACAGCAATAAAAGCTGATTTCATTATTCTAGGGCATCTCTTGGCAGGACAGGAGGGGCTCCAAGGCTGAACTTGGATTTTTGTGTGTGGGAGGAGAGGGAATCATGGAATACCAGGATGGTTTGGGTTGGAAGGGACATAAAACCCACCCAGTGCCACCCCTGCCATGGCAGGGACACCTCCCTCTGTCCCAGGGTGCCCAATGTCCAACCTGGCCTTGGGCACTGCCAGGGATGGATCGAACAAAAAAAGTCCCAATTTTCATCCATTTCCAGTTCCTTATCTCTCAAACTGCACTTTACAACGGGTTAAATGAGTTTATTTGTGTCCATTCAGCTCAGAATTTCTGCTTTTTAAAAGATAATAATCTACAAGCTCCTCCTAGCAATGCTTTCCTTCCAGCAACTGATGGAATTTTTGTCCGTGTTACAAATATTGTTTCTGGGAGACAACATTGCTTCAGTGAACTTCCCATCCATAAATCCCCATTCACTGGAGGAAACAATGCAAAACATCCCAAATTGCCTTCAATTCTTTCAGTTGACCTGAAACACAAAGAACTGCATAGTAATTCCTATTTTTTCTTCTTTATTTTTTGCCTTATGTGGAGTGTTGTGTTTTAAACCCAAGGAAAACTGAGATTTTTAGCAGGATTTAATAATTGTACAGGGAATTTTGTACTTGGGCTTGGCCAGAGTGCTTTGGTTGGGGGTAAAAACTGATCCCTGTAGATTTGTGGTTTTACCTGTAAATATTTATATATTTTTCTTTGCAGCAACGTCCTGGTTTTGTTTTGTCTACAGAAGTGGCTTTTGAGTTGCCCAGGATGAGAGCTGAGCATGTGGGGATTCTCTGGCAGCTCCCAGGGTGTTGTTCTTGTGCTCTCCAGGCATTGTTGTGCTGATTCCATTGGATGCAAAGCTGTTCAATGAAATAAATCTGGGAAATCCTGCTTTGGTGCTCAGCGCTGGAGCCCCTGGAGCTGCTCCCATTCTCATGGAATGTCCTCATCCCATGGCCGCTGCCCCTTCTCCCCCACTTTTCCAGGATCAAATCCTGATTTTAATTTATCAAATTAAAATTTTAATTTATCAAAAATTATATTAAAAATTATATTAAAATTAAAATTTTAATTTATCAAATCCTGCTTTAATTTATTGTTAATGCACTTGGACAAGCCCCAGCACACACAGGATCAGAGCACTGGGATTTTAACTCTTATCATTGCTCTGGGAAACGGGACATGCCCATGGAAAGGCTGGGAGAATTGGGATTGTTCAGCCTGGAGAAAAGAATGTTCCAGGAGGACCTCAGAGGGAACTTCCCAATGTCCAGCCTGGCCTTGGGCACTGCCAGGGATCCAGGGGCAGCCACAGCTGCTCTGGCAATTCCAGCCCAGCCAGGAATTCCCAATTCCCAATCTCCCACCCATCCCTGCCCTCTGGCACTGGGAGCCATTCCCTGGCTCCTGTCCCTCCATCCCTTGTCCCCAGTCCCTCT